TTATCTCCTGTTTCCCCCAGGAGCGACCACACCAGTCGACAACCAGTACACTTACTAGGTGAAGGATAGGTTTTAAGGAACTCCAATGTTTCACCCGCCGGAATAACCATGCGTGTGAAGCAAGAGCTGGGTTATTTCTCGTATTAACTCCAGGTTAATAATCGAGGAAAGTCTTCATAAAGTCTTCTCAGATATAGAGTGCGGTGATAGATAGCAACCTTGGAATAAAGTTACCATGCGTCAGCAAAGCCTGCTAGAAGGTTATATTTCACTAAATTAAAAAAGCAATTTTATAGACGTAACTTACTTTTCGCTAAGTTGAAGAAAGTCTCTTGCCACCACAAATTTGAAAAAGGAATAAGAATTGTACACCCGAAATGCAGTCGATGTCTAAGAAAGCAATTTGATACATATAAACATGAATCTTCCATAGTGAGCAAAGACCATTACATTCGCTCAATAATAAAATCTTGCAGAATAAAATTTTAACATATGCTAATTAATATTTGTGTTAAGGTTTATAGCGATGTGCCATTGTCACCATGGAACAGAAGGGATGGATGTACAGCAGCATATTCTTCATGCTCTTGAGAAGAATGGCGTGTCATATCAAAATGAGATTTGCGGACTGAGAAAGAAACGCCCAAAGTTTGTAGGTGCATAAATCTTTAGAACACGGTATGGAGTATTGTCTTGGTAAATGTGTGATATACGGGAGTCGCCATGTGTGTGGTGAGGGCTGCCAGGGTGGTGAGGCTGCCAGGGTGGTGAGGGCTGCAGGGTGGTGTGAAGCTGCTAGGGTGGTGTGGCTGCCAGGGTGGTGAGGGTGCCCAGGGTGTGAGGGCTGCCAGGGTGGGGGGCTGTCAGGTGGTAGGCTGCCAGTGGTGGTTGGGGAAGCTGCTAGGGTGGTGTGGGCTGCCAGGTGGGGGAGGGCTGCCAGGGTGGTGAGGGCTGCCAGGGTGGTGAGGGCTGCCAGGGTGGTGAGGGCTGCCAGGGTGGTGTGGGCTGCCAGGGTGGTGAGGGCTGCCAGGGTGGTGAGGGCTGCCAGGGTGGTGTGGCTGCTAGGGTGGTGTGGGCTGCCAGGGTGGTGAGGGCTGCCAGGGTGGTGTGAGCTGCTAGGGTGGTGTGGGCTGCCAGGGTGGTGAGGGCTGCCAGGGTGGTGAGGGCTGCCAGGGTGGTGAGGGCTGCAGGTGTGGGCTGCCAGGGTGGTAAGGGCTGCCAGGGTGGTGTGAGCTGCAGGTGGTGTGGGCTGCCAGGGTGGTGAGGGCTGCCAGGGTGGTGAGGGCTGCCAGGGTGGTGAGGGCTGCCAGGGTGGTGAGGGCTGCCAGGGTGGTGAGGGCTGCTAGGGTGGTGTGGGCTGCCAGGGTGGTGTGGGCTGCCAGGGTGGTGAGGGCTGCCAGGGTGGTGAGGGCTGCCAGTGGTGAGTGCTGGGTGTGTGGGCTGCCAGGGTGGTGAGGGCTGCCAGGGTGGTGAGGGCTGCCAGGGTGGTGAGGGCTGCCAGGGTGGTGAGGGCTGCCAGGGTGGTGAGGGCTGCCAGGGTGGTGAGGGCTGCCAGGGTGGTGTGGGCTGCCAGGGTGGTGTGGGCTGCCAGGGTGGTGTGGGCTGCCAGGGTGGTGAGGGCTGCCAGGGTGTGATGCTGCCAGGGTGGTGAGGGCTGCCAGGGTGGTGTGGGCTGCCAGGGTGGTGTGGGCTGCCAGGGTGGTGTGGGCTGCCAGGGTGGTGAGGGCTGCCAGGGTGGTGAGGGCTGCCAGGGTGGTGAGGGCTGCCAGGGTGGTGAGGGCTGCCAGGGTGGTGTGGGCTGCCAGGGTGGTGTGGGCTGCCAGGGTGGTGAGGGCTGCCAGGGTGGTGAGGGCTGCGGGTGGTGGGCTTCCAGGGTGGTGAGGTGCTGCCAGGGTGGTGGGGATGCCAGGGTGGTGAGGGCTGCCAGGGTGGTGTGGGATGCCAGGGGGTGAGGGCTGCCAGGGTGTGTGGGCTGCAAGGGTGGTGAGGGCTGCCATGGTGGTGTGGGGATGCCAGGGTGGTGTGGGCTGCCAGGGTGGTGTGGGATCCCTAGGGTGGTGGGGCTGCCAGGGGTGAGGGCTGCCAGGGTGGTGTGGGATGCCAGGGTGGTGAGGGCTGCCAGGGTGGTGTGGGCTGCCAGGGTGGTGTGGGCTGCCAGGGTGGTGTGGGATGCCAGGGTGGTGAGGGCTGCCAGGGTGGTGTGGGCTGCAGGGTTGTGGCTGCCAGGGTGGTGTGGATGCCAGGGTGGTGTGGGATGCCAGGGTGGTGTGGGATGCCAGGGTGGTGTGGATGCCAGGGTTGGTGTGGGATGCCGGGGTGGTGTGGGCTGCCAGGGTGGTGAGGGCTGCCAGGGTGGTGTGGGATGCCAGGGTGGTGTGGGCTGCCAGGGTGGTGTGGGATGCCAGGGTGGTGTGGGCTGCCAGGGTGGTGTGGGCTGCCAGGGTGGTGAGGGCTGCCAGGGTGGTGTGGGATGCCAGGGTGGTGAGGGCTGCCAGGGTGGTGAGGGCTGCCAGGGTGGTGTGGGCTGCCAGGGTGGTGTGGGCTGCCAGGGTGGTGTGGAGCCAGGTGGTGTGGGCTGCCAGGGTGGTGAGGGCTGCCAGGGTGGTGAGGACTGCCAGGGTGGTGTGCTGCCTTTGTGGTGTGGGCTGCCAGGGTGGTGAGGGCTGCCAGGGTGGTGAGGACTGCCAGTGTGGTGTTGGCTGCCAGGGTGGTGAGGGCTGCCAGGATGGTGAGGACTGCCAGGGTGGTGTGGGCTGCCAGGGTGGTGTGGGTTGCCAGGGTGGTGTGGGATGCCAGGGTGGTGAGGGACTGCCAGGGTGGTGAGCCAGGTGTGAGGCTGCCAGGGTGGTGTGGCTGCCAGGGTGGTGTGGGCTGCCAGGGTGGTGAGGGCTGCCAGGATGGTGAGGACTGCCAGGGTGGTGTGGGCTGCCAGGGTGGTGTGGGCTGCCAGGGTGGTGTGGGCTGCCAGGGTGGTGAGGGCTGCCAGGGTGGTGTTGGCTGCCAGGGTGGTGAGGGCTGCCAGGGTGGTGTGGACTGCCAGGGTGATGAGACTGTCAGGGTGGGGGGGCAGTGGCTGCTAGGTGGTGGTGCCGGGGCGGGTCAGGGTGGGGTTAGGTGTGGGCTGCCAGGGTGGTGTGGGCTGCCAGGGCGGTGAGGGCTGCCAGGGGGGGGGGTGGGTTGGCTGCCAGGGGTGAGGGCTGCCAGGGTGGTGTGGCTGCCAGGGTGGGGGTGTGTGGGTGGTGGGGCTGCCATGGTGGTGGGGGCTGCTAGGGTGGTTTGTGGGCTGCCAGGGTGGTGAGGGCTGCCAGGGTGGTGTGGATGTCAGGGTGGTGTGGGCTGCCAGGGTGGTGAGGGCTGCCAGGTGGTTTGAGGGCTGCCAGGGTGGTGTGGGACCTACCAGGGTGGTGAGGACTGTCAGGGTGGTGAGGGCTGCCAGGGTGGTGTGGGCTGCCAGGGTGTTGTGGTTTCCCTGGGTGGTGTGGGCTCCCTGGGTGGTGTGGGCTGCCAGGGTGGTGTGGACTGCCAGGGTGGTGAGGCTGCCAGGGTGGTGTGGGCTGCCAGGGTGGTGTGGGATGCCAGGGTGGTGTGGGATGCCAGGGTGGTGTGGCTGCAGGGTGAGTGAGGGCTGCCAGGGTGGTGTGGATGTCAGGGTGTGGGCTGCCAGGGTGGTGAGGACTGTCGAGGGGGGTGAGGGCTGCCAGGGTGGTGAGGATGCCAGGGTGGTGTGGGGCTGCCAGGGTGGTGTGGCTGCCATGGTGGTGTGGGCTGCCAAAGGGTGGTGTGGACTGCCAGGGTGGTGAGGGCTGCCAGGGTGGTGTGGGTGCCAGGGTGGTGTGGCGGTGGGGCTCAGGGTGGTGTGGGCTGCCAGGGTGGTGTGGGCTGCCAGGGTGGTGAGGCTGCCAGGGTGTGAGGACTGCCAGGGGGTGTGGATGCCAGGGTGGTGGGAGGGCTTCAGGGTGGTGTGGGTGCCAGGGTGGTGTGGGCTGCCAGGGTGGTGAGGACTGCCAGGGTGGTGAGGGCTGCCAGGGTGGTGTGAGATGCCAAGGTGGTGTGGGCTGCCTGGGTGGTGATGGCTGCCAGGGTGGTGTGGGATGCCAGGGTGGTGTGGGCTGCCAGGGTGGTGTGGGCTGCCAGGGTGGTGTGGGCTGCCAGGGTGTGGGGGTGGGGGTTTGCCAGAGTGGTGTGGGCTGCCAGGGTGGTGAGGGCTGCCAGGGTGGGGTGGCTCCAGGTGGTGTGGGCTGCCATGGTGGTGTGGGCTGCCAGGGTGGTGTGGGCTGCCAGGGTGGTGTGGGCTGCCAGGGTGGTGTGGGCTGCCAGGGTGGTGTGGGCTGCCAGAGTGGTGTGGGCTGCCAGGGTGGTGAGGGCTGCCAGGGTGGGTGGGCTTCCAGTGTTGTGTGGGCTGCCAGGGTGATGTGGGCTGCCAGGGTGGTGTGGGCTGCCAGGGTGGTGTGAGCTTCCAGGGTGGTGAGGGCTGCCAGGGTGGTGTGGGCTGCCTTTTTGGTGGGGGCTGCCTGGGTGGTGTGTGCTGCCTCTGTGGTGGGGGCTGCCTGGGTGCTGGGGGCTTCCAGGGTGGTGTGGGCTGCCAGGGTGATGTGGGCTGCCAGGGTGGTGTGGGCTGCCAGGGTGGTGAGGGCTGCCAGGGTGGTGTGGGCTGCTAGGGTGGTGTGGGCTGCCAGGGTGGTGTGGGTTGCCAGGGTGGTGAAGGCTGCCAGGGTGGTGAGGGCTGCCAGGTGGTGTTTGCTGCCAGGGTGGTGTGGGTTGCCAGGGTGGTGTGGGCTGCCAGGATGGTGTGGGCTGCCATGGTGGTGAGAACTGCCATGGTGGTGAGGGCTGTGATGAAACACGAAATAGTTTACAGCGAAGTTCTGGCAGGTCGTATTTGTTTGGTCGAGTGCTGAGCTTTGTTCAGGTAGGGAGCTGGTTGTATACCGAGGTTTTGCTGTATTATTACTTATTACATTAATAAAGAAGTCTTAACCAAATATCAGGCATGTCATAAGATGAATGTCTATGAGAAGGCTAGCAATACAGTAGGGAAGAGAATGTCCTTAGATAAGAAATCTGAGGAAATTGGCTCATTTTGCAATACATATATTGAGCTGACAGTGCACCTTCCACTCAAAGCTAAGTTGCTGGCAAGAGTTGCCCTTATCTCCAAGAAAGATTTCCTGTTTAGTGTCATGTATGGCTCCTTGTGAACAGGACCTAAATGCAGTCATCCAAATTATTCTTGGCAAGGACCAAGACTGGAACACCTGTGTCAGGGCCCTGAGATTGTTGAAGGGAAGGCACCTTGACCACTGTCTCTGCTGCAGCAGCACACTTAAGCCTTACAGTATAAAACTCACATGATTAGATGGTAGTGTGCTTCAGCTCTGATGAAGCAAGGGGAATTCTTCCTTGGTGTCCAAGGGATGCTTCAGAGCTGCTACTTCTTCAATAGCATTTGTGTTTGGGGGGAGGGAGATGAGGCAGGGTAGACAGTCTCTTGCGATAAGGAAGTGAAACTCTGCTTACTGTATGAGAAGTCTTTTTTTTTTCTATCCAGGAAGCAGACTAAGCAGAAAAGCAAACCAATTTGAGGGTATTCATAGAGCAAGGAGCTGAATGTTGAAATCAGAAAGGAATACAGGCATGTTCGGAGAAAGCCGTGGAAACAAAGTGTAAACAGTCACTTCAGTCTTATTTCAGGAAATGTCATGTTTGCATGTGAATGTTATTAGCATTTTGTTTCCAAAATAGCTTGCCATGTTTTTCTCATTTTTCATATGACTTTTTTTTTTTTCACTTTTTTGCAGGTTATAAATGTGAAACAAATTGCACTCAAGACCTGGGAATGTACTGATGAAGGCAACAATCTTGCTACCAGTGGTTCTCATGAAGCAAGACTGTTTAACTCCCTTCCTCCAGAGGGTCGCTCTCTGACTGATATTAAAGCCAGTTTCCCAAATTCAAATTTTGCTTTAGGAGCAGCAATGAAAAATAAGGTAAGATATCTTGGGCATTACATGAAAAATGTGGCGAGTTAGACAACATCATTTCATAATAATGTTGACACAATTACCGACAATATGTAAAGTAAAAGGACACAAGTACAACTAATGTGGCATTTTTATTGTGGCAACGTTTCGCTCTCCAGGAGCTTTGTCAGCTTGACGAAGCTCCTGGAGAACGAAACATTTCCACAATAAAAATGCCACATTAGTTGCACTTGTGTCCTTTTACTTAACATCTTATCAAAAGAAGTAATGGTAATGTTTTGTACAAGGAACAGTGCAGGCACAAAAATTAAAAAGCTTTTCATTACATTTTTTAATCTTAATCATTTATATAAAGAAAATGGTGTCAGATATACAGTATATAGAAAGCTTTCATGTGGAAGATTTTTTTGGGGGGAGATATGTTACACAGGCTGGGTATTGTTCTGTATTTGTTTAGTGTGTTGTAGACTTCATGGGATCTGTGATAGTTTATTAGGCCTTGTGAGTTATTGATTCACAATTATTAATAGGAATTCCTTATTAGAGAGGCTTTAAATTTGTCAGGCATACTTAATAGGCCTTAGCCCTTTCAGGGTTAGTGCCGTACTAGTATGGCTTGCATGCCAGGGTTGGTGCCGTACTAGTACGCATAAATTCTAGCACCTTCAAATCTAGTGAGAGAAAGCTGGTAGGCCTACATATGAAAGAATGGGACTATGTGGTCAGTGTGCGCAGTATAAAAAAATTCCTGCAGCACACAGTGCATAATGAGAGAAAAAAAAAACTGACCGTGTTTTTGGTTTAAAACAGCGAACTTTGCAGTGTATTTTCGTATGGTATTTATGGTTGTATTCTAGTTTTCCTGGTCTCATTTTATAGAATAGAAGACATATTACGGAAATTGAGATGATTTTGATTGGTTTTGCAATGAAAAGTACCTTGAAATTGAGTTCAAAATAGCAGAAATGTTCGATATTTGCCAAAGTTCAAAAGTAAACAAATCATGCCATGCGTCCAATACACATCATCTGGCGAGTCTGCTATTCTTTCACAAGTGCTGATATTATTTATACCATTTCTACACCATTTTTACACTAATGCAGTAGTCTGCATAACAGTAAATCTTCTATTTTTTGTGAGAATAAAAATTCAAAGTGGAAAGCAAAAGAAATATAACAGAGGCCTGGGGACATGACTAATGAACAGAGGAAATGTTATTTTAGTGCCAGGAATGTCTGTCTTGTTTATTCTGGACCCTGTTTGGAAATTAACATCTTTTGAAATTTGTGTGAAATTGACAAAATTACCACTTTCTGACCATTTTATTGGATAGTTGAAATCGGTAAATGGGTAGTTTCTTGTACTAATTCGATAGAAAAAATGGAGTTTTAGCGAAATAGGTATGATTTTTGTCGACTGGTACATTGGAATTGGCCGAAAATAGGGCTCAAAGTGGGCGATATTGCCGATGCATAAACATCGTCGAGACCGTTAAATTCGTGAGAGCATATTTCCATAAGTTTTCCATCAAATTTCATACTTTGGTGTCATTTCATAAGAAAAAAATAATTTTTTTTTTTTTTCGAAAAATTTCCGACCCTGAGAACAAGTTTAGGAGAGGGCCTGCCGACCCTGAAAGGGTTAAGAGTAAACTGCATGTCATTAATGCTGAGGAACTTTTTTTAATGAAAATAATTTGTTTGGAATAGGTAGTAAGTTACTAAATGCTGTAAAGAGTTTTTATGAAGATAGTGAGGCTCAGGTTAGGGTGTGTAGGAGAAAGAGAGATTACTTCTCAGTAAAAGTAGGTCTTAGACAGGGATGTGTAATGTCACCATAGTTGTTTAACATATTTGTAGATGGGGTTAAAAAAAAAAAGTAAATGTTAGAGTGTTGGGGAAAGAGGGGTGGGATTAAATTGTGGGGAATCAAATACAAAATGGAGTTGACACAGCTGCTTGTTGTTGATGATACTGTGCTTTTGAGAGATTCTAAAGAAAAGTTGCAAAGGTTAGTGGACAAGTTTAGGAAGGTATGTAAGGGTAGAAAGTTGAAAGTGAACATAAAGAGTAAAAGTGATGAGGGTATCAGATGATTTAGACAAAGAATAATTGGATATCACATTGGAAGGAGGGAGTATGGAAGAAGTGAATGTTTTCGATATTAACCATAGAATTGATGAAAGAAAAAGGGTGAGTGGTGCTTTGAGGTATCTGTGGAGACAAAAAACGTTACCCAAGGCGGCAAAGAAGGGAATGTACGAGAGTATAGGGGTACCAACACTCGTATGGGAGTGAAGCATGGGTTGTAAATGCTGCAAGCAAGGAGGAGGCTGGAAGCAGTGGGGATGTCATGTCTAAGGGCAGTGTGTGGTGTAAATATTATGCAGAGAATTCGTAATGTGGAAATTAGGAGGTGTGGAGTACTAAAAGTATTAGTCAGAGGGTTGAAGAGGGGTTGTTGAGGTGGTTTGGTCATTTAAAGAGGATGGATCAAAGTAGAATGACTTGGAGAGTGTATAAATCTGAAGGGGAAGGACGGCAGGGTAGGGGTTGTCCTAGGAAAGGTTGGAGGGAGGGGGTAAAGGAGGTTTTGTCGGTGAGGAGCTTGGACTTCCAGCAAGCGTGCATGAGCATGTTGGGAGTGAATGAGTAAATAAGTAGTCAGGGGATCCTTTACTGATTCAGGTAGTGAATTCCAGATCTTCAGGCCCTTATCTGCATCACACTATGCAAAAATGCAGTGCACATTAAGGGCCCAAAGATCTGGGATTCACTACCTGAACTGGTAAAGGATCCCCTGACTACTTATAAATTTAGGACTTTGCTTAAAAATCATCTCATCTCTCAGTACTAACCAAACCAACCAAAACAACTTCAAATTATTTTTTTTTTTTTCAACAAGTCGGCCGTCTCCCACCGAGGCAGGGTGACCCAAAAAAGAAAGAAAATCCCTGGAAATGGGAAGTACAATGCCTGCACTTTAACCCTTTGAGGGTTTTCGTCGTACTAGTACGTCTTACGCGTAGGGGTTTTTGACGTACTAGTACTCATAAATTCTAGCGGCCTCAAATCTAGTGGGAGAAAGCTGGTAGGCCTTCATATGAAAGAATGGGTCTATGTGGTCAGTGTGCACAGTCTAAAAAAAATCCTGCAGCACACAGTGCATAATGAGAAAAAAAAAACTTTGACCATTTTTTTTGAATAAATCAGCGACTTTGCAGTGTATTTTCGTATGGTATTTATTGTTGTATTCTAGTTTTCTTGGTCTCATTTTATAGAATGGAAGACATATTACTGAAATTGAGATGATTTTGACTGGTTTTACATTGAAAGGTGCCTTGAAATTGAGCTCAAAGTAGCAGAAATGTTCGATTTTTACCAAACTTCAAAAATAAACAAATCGTGCCAAGCGTGCAATACACGTCAACTGGTGAGTCTAATATTCTTTCACAAGTGCACCAATAATATTTATACCATTTTTTACACTAATGCAGTAGTTTGCATAACAGTAAATCTTATATTTTTTGTGAGAATAAAAATTCAAAGTGGAAAGCAAAAGAATATAAGAGGGGCCTTGAGACGTGACTAATGACTAGAGGAAATGTCATTTTAGTGCCAGGAATGTCTTTCTTGTTTACTCTGGACCCTATTCAGAAATTGGCATCTTTTGAAATTTGTGTGAAATTGGCAAAATTGCTAAATTCTGACCACTGTACTGGATAGTTGAATTTATAAATGGGTGGTTTCTTGCACCCATTCGATAGAAAAAATGGAGTTCTAGCGAAATATTCATGTTTTTTGTCGACTAGTACAGTGAAATTGGCCGAAAATGGGGCTCAAAGTGGGCAAAATCGCCGATGCGTAAACATCGCCGAGACCGCTAACTTTGTGAGAGCATAATTCCGTAAGTTTTCTATCAAATTTCAAATTTTTGGTGTCGTTATGATCGGGAAAAGATTCTCTATCTTTTCATAAGAGAAAATAATTTTTTTTTTTTTAAATTTGGCCGACCCTGAGAACGAGTTTCGGAGAGGGCCTGTCGACCCTCAAAGGGCTAAAGGAGGGGTTTGGGATATTGGCAGTTTGGAGGGATATGTTGTGTATTTTTATACGTATATGCTTCTAAACTGTGTATTCTGAGCACCTCTGCAAAAGCAGTGATAATGTGTGAGTGTGGTGAAAGTGTTGAATGATGATGAAAGTATTTTCTTTTTGGGGATTTTCTTTCTTTTTTGGGTCACCCTGCCTCGGTGGGAGACGACCGACTTGTTGAAAAAAAAAAAAAAAAAAATATATATATTTTTTTTCAACAAGTCGGCCGTCTCCCACCGAGGCAGGGTGACCCAAAAAAGAAAGAAAATCCCCAAAAAGAAAATACTATATTATTATATATATATGCAAAACAACCACTCTGAAAGAATAGAGAAATTCCAAGCGCTTTCGTGACTACTCACATTATCAAGGAACTATGAAAGTAAAGCATCCAAGGAAGCTATATAAGGGGTCTGGCCAGCACCTCACTATCAGATCCCACAACGGTTAAACACCTGACGTGCGCTGACCCAACTTGGATAGGTCCTTTGCACAACTAACCCCACAAACTATTCTACCCAAGAAAATTAAAAAATTTGTCCAGTGTATTATTAAATTCTTCCCAAATTCTATTAATTATAAATGGATCTAATTTATATAAACCAAAGGAAATATTCATATTATTGTCAAAACTGCTTTTTATGAAACAAGATTCAATTATATTCCTGTCGACCATGGACTTGCTTGATACTACTTTCTCAACTTTTTGAAAATCAATTGGATGTTAGGTAAGACACATATGCAACAGTTAGGTATCTTTATTATGAAACGTTTCGCCTACACAGTAGGCTTCTTCAGTCAAGTACAAAAAAGTTGATAGAAGCAGAAGATACTTGAAGGCGATGTAATCAGTCCATCACCCTTAAAGTTTTGAGGTGGTCAGTCCCTCAGTCTGGAGAAGAGCATTGTTCC